AAAAACGCGCCCAGTGTTTGTAAAGAAAATAAAGACCCAGCAGTTGAAAGTTCCCTGAGAGAAGCAGCTACCTCCCCAGGTTGTGGAGCACTCTATGGTCCACCCCTATGCTCATGCTGAGTGGATTTGAGTTCCGTCCAGGTTTAGGCAGAAGCCCTTGGAGTCAATATCAGCTTGACTCCTGCTAAGTCTGTGGGACTTAGGGGTGGATGGAATTGTTCTGTTGGGATCAGAGATGGAAAAGCTGGCTTCCCTGACAGTGCAGCCTGCCTGGAGGCAGCAGGTACAAAGTACACATCAGACCCCAGGGAATCACTCCCTCCTCAATTGGCTTATGGCTGCACTTCGTGCTGTGTAGCCCAATCTGGATGATCTACCATCCTCTCCTGCTAGATGGCAGATGTATGCTGAGCTCCAACAGTTGTTATGAGAGCGAGGCATGAGAAATGCCATCTATAGTCCAGAGAATCATGGCCAAGATGAAGAACCTTTCACTACTGGGATGAGAAATATTGTACTTCAAACAGCTCCCACATTCCTCTTTGGGTCTCTAGTGGTCATTCTTTCCCTTCACTTAGGGCAGCCCATAAGTGAGGTTACACATACAGTAGTGGACTTAGGAGAAGCTGAAGCAATGAGAACACAGAGGGAAATAAGGTCTTCTACTCACAAAAAGAATTTGAAGGGTCCCATGAAGGTTACAAGGACCCAGATGTGGGTTGATTTAATACGGGCAGGAGCAGATGGAAGGAAATTAGGTGGGAAGCCAAATAGGATCTTACTGGCGCTATGGCAACAACTGAAACCAGAGCAGCAATTCCAGCCACTAACACCAAAGAGGCAGAGGCCAGAGACAGAGCCACAAGTCTGGCCTGTGTCTTTGCAAGACTTCCTGCTGGAGAGTGAGCCAACTTCACTTGAGCTCACACAAGAAGATGATTGGGGAACACGGTTCTACTGAAGGGAAGTTCAAGGTACCTGCCTTGAGGGACCAGGGGGTGACAGGAGGCCACATGTTGGAATAGCTATCCATTGGTTCCCAGTGAACATACAATGTATCCTGGCTGTGGTGGACACAGGGGCTGAATGTTCACTGATTCATGGCAACCCTGAGCAGTTCCCCGGGACCCCCACTGTGATAGATGGATATGGGGGTAAGGCTATCAGAGTGAAACAAGCCCAAATCCCTTTGGGAATACAGCATCTACCCCCAAAAGAGTATACTGTGTATATATCTCCTAGTCCTACAACTGTAGCACTGCTATAGAAGTTTTTGGGTCTTCTAGGCTACTGGAGAGTGTTTATCCCGCACTTGGCACAAATTCTGAAGCCCTTATACCAGTTAGTATGAAAGGGCATTAGGTGGGACTGGGATGAGACATGTGCATCTGCCTTTACTACAGCAAAATGGGCAGTTAAGGCTGCGCAGGCCTTGAATGTGATAGACCCATCAAGGCCCTGTGAGCTGGATATTCATGTGACTTAAGACGGTTATGGCTGGGGTCTCTGGCAGCAGCTTGAATGAACTCACCAACCTATTGGATTCTGTTCACAACTCTGAAAAGGGGCAGATGTATGATATACTTTGATAGAAAAATAACTGGCTGCCGTGTATCACGTCTTGCTGGCTACAGAACCTATCACTGGAATGGCCCCGATAAAGGTAATAACCACCTATCCCATCCTGGGGTAGGTACAAAATTGGACCCAAAAGCTAAGGAGTGCTGTGGCAGAAAAGCCCACACTGGCCAAGTGGGATGCTTACCTACAGCAGCACAATGCCCTCTCTAGTAGTCCGTTAAGTGAAGAACTCCAGTGCTTACTGGGGCTGGTGACATATACTAGTGAAAAGCAGGAAGAACTTGCTTTTGAACCATTAGTAGCAGAGAGTCCCTATCGGAGGGAAGAGCCCCTATACCTGAAGTTGCATGGTACACAGACAGCTCCAGCCTTGGGCAGCCCCCACAATGGAGGGCCACAGCTTTCCATCCTAAGACTGAGACAATATGGATGGAAGATGGTGAGGGGAAGAGCAGCCAATGGACAGAGTTGTGGGCTGTGTGGCTTGTGATCAGCCAGGAGCCCTCCCCTATAATTGTCTGCACTGACAGCTGGGCTGTCTTATTGGGGCTTGACCCTGTGGCTACCAACCTGGTACCATGTCAGCTCACTGGTCACTGCCCCCTTTGGGGGCAAGAATTGTGGCAAGATTTATGGGCCTGTTGTCAGACTAAAATAATTACAGTATACTATGTGACAGGTCATTTGCCACTGGTATCCCCAGGAAATGATGAAGCAGATAAATTGGCCCAGATACACTGGTTAGAAGGAAAGCCTGTCTCTGATGTAGCCCAATGGCTACATCAGCGTTTGTTGCATGCAGGGCAAAAGACATTGTGGGCTGTAGCCCGTCAGTGGGGCTTGCCTTTGACCTTTGAAGAAGTTAGTAGAGCCCGGCAGGAGTGTGTCATATGCTCTAAAAGGGACTTAACACCGAGTTCCACAGCAACATGGGACAATAGCTAAGGGCCTGTACCCCTCATCAGGTGGCAGATAGACTATATTGGGCCTCTACCTGTGTCAGAAGGATATCGGTATGCCATGACTTGTGTGGACACAGCTACTGGACTTCTGGTTGCTTTTCCTACCCATTGTGCAGACCAGCAGACGACCAAAAGAGGCCTGGAGTTTCTACCTATGGCCAACCACAGTTAATTGAGAGTGATCAGGGCACCCATTTTACTGGCAATGCACTGTAAGAATGGGTGGGACAGCTGGGAATCAAGTGGAAGTTTCATGTGCCATACAATCCTACCACAGCAGGCATGATAGAGAGACACAATGGCTTGTTAAAATCTGGACTGAAATCAGATACCAATAGTCTGTGGAGATGGTCAGTTCGCTTACGGACTGTGCTACGGCAGCCCTGAAAGGGAGCCCTGAGTCCTATAGACATGTTCACAGATATGGCTGCCTCCCCTATACAACTGCAAGTACAAACCAAGCAAGAATCACTGAAGCTGAGGTTCGGCCACCAGGATAACATCTTGCTGCCAGCACCAACTGCACTGAACCCCAGAGACTCCACTGAGTGGATGTGGCCTTGGACATTCTGACACATGGACCAACGATGGCTGGCTCTCCTGGCACCTTGGGGGCAAGGCCTGGAAGCTGACCTCTTGTGTGTTTGTGGAATAACAGCAGAGTGGCCCCCAAAGGTCACAGTAGTATATCCTGAACAGCCAGAACATAGGAGCATCTTACTGGGGAGATTTGTTTTATCATGGCCAGTACATGCACCTCCAGTAACACTATATAGAGACCCTTCAGTAATCCCCACAGGGAGAGGAATAAAAGTGGTATATTAGACCTGGATGGGACCCCCTTCCTGCTACAGCCCTACCACAGGACAACTCTCTTGCATGCATCCTACCTGATGGACAAGGTTTACGTATGTTGGTGTTTTATCACCCCTAAGGTCTTTGTGGATTGGGAACCTCCTCTGGCTTGGGAATTATTATAATTTTTGTTGCCTCTGTCAAAATCTTTTTGTATCTTAATTTTTGCTATAGTCTCTAAATTGTTGTTAGCCTCTGCTGCTGTTGTGGAATCTGGTTACAGTGCTCCAGCTTTCTCGCACAGGGACCATTGCGTAAGATTGAGAGCATGTAGATTGTAAGGCGAGAATCTTAGAGGGGTGGAGGGTGGGCAAGTTGGGGTTCCTATGGCCAGGATCCTCACTGAACTTAAACCACTTGGTGATGTAACTGGCCTGTTGCTAGGCTATTGCTTCCACACCAGTAGGCAATAAGCTATTATTACACTATATAGAGAGCTCGGCCCAGTGCTCTGGGCAGAGGCAGAGATACTAGTGTTCGACCTACCACCAGGAGAACAAGCCGGGGGCTGAAACCCATTGGCAAGACAGATGGGTACACTGGGATGGCTGTTCCAGTTTTTAAATGTTGGTAAAGAGTTGCTGCCCTGAGACCCCCTACCCCCACCCCAGTGCACCTCCCTGCAGCCACAATAGGCCCTCCTCTGGGGTCTTGCATGTCCCCTTCGTCCGCAGTGAGAGGGAAGGCCTGGCTGAGCCAGGGCTTCCAGGTCCTCCTTTAGCAGGACAACCTTGTAGATTCACAAACATTTAAAATCTCAACCCTGATTAAGGCCATGCCTTAAACCAGGATTAGACTCTTAGGGCTGCTGTAACAAATTACCACAAGCTGGGGGGGGTTGCTTAAAACACAGGAATTCATTGTCTCACAGTTCTGGAGTCCAGATGTCCAAAAGTAAGGTGTCAGCAGGGTGGGGGCCCTGCGGGGCCCCCTCCAAGGGCTCCTGGGGAGACTCCTTCCCTGCCTCTTCTGGTTCCTAGAGGCTCCAGGCATTCCGTGGCTTGTGGCTGTGCCCTCCAGGCTCTGTCTCTGTCTTCACGTGACCTTCTCCTCCTGTGTGTCTAATCTCCTCAGCCTCTCTTTTATAAGGACACTAATCATTGGATTTAGGGCATACCCAAATCACCCAGGATGATCACAAGTTAGGATCCTTAGCATAATTATATTTGTAAAAGACCCAGTTTCCAAAATGAGGTCACACTCACAGGTTCTGGGGGGACATGCCTTTTGAGAGGCCACCAGCCAACCTGCTATAAAGCCTAAGGAGAGTGGAGTAGAATGAGCAGGAACTTCCTTGGGAGCAATCTTTCCCCTTCCTTCAGTCCAATAATTTGAAGCCTTTGAAAATTTCTCCTTCATAAAAAGGTTGACGATCCCTCTGGTAGAGTTCAACTCTTACCATGCATACCTAAGCACAAAGTGCATTTTATTTTGCTCCAGGCCCTCTCATTTGCAGGCTTACTTGAGTTTATTTAGGACTTATTCTTCAAGTTATGTGTCTGTGGCCTAGAAAGGCAGACAGTATGTGCTGCTCTCTCTTCCCATACGTTCTTCTCCAAGGGGAAAAAGTCTGAGCATCTCCTTGAACGTTCTGAGGGATCTAGTGGGCAGAATGTAAAGTGACGATCCGGGTAAACAATCCAGAGAGGTATTATGATTTCCCGCTTGTACTAGTCCTCTCAGGAGAGGAAGAGAACTTTACATCTCCCGGAGGATCTGAGGTTGCTTTTTCTAATAAAGATGATCACATGCATAAGGGAAAAGAGTCACAGCTAAGTGTGCCGCCAAGCCTTGGTTCTAGCCATTGGCACCGGTTCACCGTTTGTGTTCTAGCCCTGTGGGGGAATCAGTTCCAGGAGGGACATGCTCTCTGTAGTGCTATTCCTTTCCCACCTATAGCATCGCTGTCCATGGTTGGAAGCCCTCGAGTGTGCCTCTGTAGGGCAGTCCTTTAGCAAGGACAGGTGCGGATAGTATTTGATGGGGAACTAAAGTTTCGGGCACTTGCTTTTGGGTCAGTGGCACCCCTCACCTTCCCAGAGAGGCCAGGTGGCTCCTGGGTTCCAGCCTGAGGGCCATCTGGAAGCAGAGCTGTGCGTCCGTTCTGGGGTGCAGGAGAGGGTGCTTTGGTCCTGGATGGTCAGTGCTGGTCATGTGCTGTTCCCAGAAGCTAGCATCTGACACAGAGTAAAACTCAAGGCAGCTTTGTTGGATGAGCAACTGGATGAGTGAACACAGTGGCTGGATTATCCTCAGAAATCAGGGCAGGTAGGCTTGGAAAATGGCAGGATGTGGGGATCCACGATCCCCTGTACTTGTCTGAGCCTGGGTGAGAATCAAGCAGTGATTAGAGCCCAGAGATGGGAATGGGAAGCAGGCCCAGACCAAATGACCGCTGGCTGAAGCATCCTCTGTGAGCCATGTCCACAGAGTCTGGGCCCAGAGGGCCCCAGCCTGGAAAATAATCTATTATATTCAGTTCCATTGGCCTGACATCGCCTTGGTGGCTGTCAAGGATCAGAATGACCTGCCCCTGAGACCCCACCAGAGGGAGCGCTCCAGACAGTGGCATGGACCCTGTGCCATCACAACCCACCCTCAGAACTGGATGCTAACACTGGATTTTTACCCAGAGCCCAGCAACCATTGGGGCCAGGAAGCCCTCACTCACCTTGCTAGAAGACTGTCTTGTGACTTCAGGCAGCACGCTTTCCCATGTCACCTAACTGGTTTGGGGTTGTCCCCTGCTGAGCCTTGGAAGAGGAGAGTTCCCCTCCTCTGTGACTGGAAGTATGGCCTGGTGGCTACGGTAATTGGAAGGCACCCAGTGTTAGTAAGGTGGGTGGTCAGTCAGCTGGGCAAGGTGGACGGGAACATCCCCAGGAGTACGGATCATTAGTGATGTACATACCACTGTACTTGAGAATAGGATGTTTAGCAGAACAGGAAACACTGTCTTTGGTATTTTATATCCCCAGCAGAAAGCTTTCTGGTTCCGGCACTAACCTGGGGAAGTGGCAGAGTGCCATCAGAGAGTGTCATGAACAAAATACCTTATTGCATAGTTTTATTTTCCTTGGAAATGTCTATCAGTGGCCATTTAAAATTATCTAGGACTAGTGGCTGAGGCTTATTTCAGTGCCACCCCTGAACTATGTTTAAGTTCCTTGTGGTGTGGAGGTGGGGCAGCCTGCATTCCTTTCTAAGCATTTTCTCCTGTTACACATGGACGCCTCTGAGGTCAGTCCCCACCCTTACGGGCAAGGGGCTGTCCTACTCTCCTCCCTCAGGATGGTGTGGGGAGGTTGAGGCTGAGAGAGGTCTGAGACAGGCTTCCTGTCCTGGGCCCTTGACCGCCTTCATTCCTCGTGAACTGCTGCAGGTGGCTCCTGTAGTGACCACTCCAGCCTTGGCGCCCAGCCTGGGGTCACCAGCCTTGGCCTGGCCTCCAGGTCACCTTGGGCCTCCACGGACCCTGCCCTGGAGGCTCCCATCCCCCTGCTTCTCCTCCCTTCACCTTCTTGGTGGGAGCCCCCAACTAACGCACAGACTCTGAGAGCAGGGCCCATGTGCCTGCATCGTGTCCATCTTAGCCCCACTGCCAGGCTGAGTCCCAGTGGGAGTGGTTACTGAGTCAGTGGGGACGTGGCAGCAGGACCAAGAAAATGTATCAGTCAGAGCAGGGGAATTATTTTACCCATGATCTTTTAAAAGTGAAAAAAAACACCTCTTCTGCCTTGAAATACTCTTACACACACACACACACACACACACACACACACACACACACATGATGATAATACAGATGTGTGCTAGTCACACTGATGTGATGAGTACTTTATTTAAACCAATTTGTATACCAGTGCCCCCTCATGACAACCCACACCAGTGCCCATTGTACAGATGAATAAACTGAGGTCAGGAAGGTTAGCTGACCACTCTAAATCACACAGCTGGTGATGGTAGAGCTGTGTTTTGAATTCAGGGAGCAAGGGTCCTGGTTTCCTGCTCCTAAATATCGTTCATACTGCCTCTCAAACTTTTTCCTTATTTGTGAAGGCAGATCGTGCCTATTGAAAGAAATTTATAAAACCCTGAAAATAATTTAAAAATTTTAAATTAACAGTACTAGAACCAGCAAGGAATTGCTACTATTAATAATTTTGCTTTATCCCTTTCTGGACTTTTCTCTGTTTTGGTACCATGTTTCGAGCAGCTGCTAAAAATTCCAACATATAGGTTATCATAATTTACTTAATTCATGTCCTCACTGTAAAGCATCTTGCTCCAACTTCCAATAACCATCTGACCAATTTCTCCCCTCCTCAGTCTTTCCATCCTACGTATGTATTTCTTTTTAACTTGGGACGGGACAGGGGTCACCAGACAATTTATCAGCAGTTTCACAAGGCCTTTTTTTTTTTTTTGGTAGAATGATTACAAAACCTATCCGAATGGTACTATTTTCCCCTGCACACACACATTTCAAATGTGGTCACTTTGAAGTGAAAATATCTCCTTGGAACTTAGCATCCAACACATCTAATACAACACAAATGAAAAAGGACACCTATAGCACCTCTAGAGAGGCTACATAAAATCAGGAGATCATCTTAAAAATAAACAGTAACTGCATTTCTCCCTGGTAGGTGAAATGGCTCCAACAACAAGAAGTTAAACGCAGGGTGAAGAGACAGGTGCGGAGTGACCCTCAGGCGCTTTATTTCAATGACCCCATTTGGTCCAACATGTGGTACATGGTGAGTAGGACATGAGCCTCTCGGTCCCAGAGCATCCGCAGTGCTGTTTCTGGGGTGGGTTAATTTCTCCCAACAAAACAACTTTCATGCTAACTCCGTAAACAGACACACTTAATCTCTTAATCTGAGTGTAAGATCCCTACTTTAGGACTGTGTAGCACAAGCTTTCTTGTGAATTTTTAAAAGATTAGATGAAAGTGTTGGTTGGGTGAGGGGTGTCCTTGAGCAGTGTGTTGATTTGATGTGAGCTAGAGCACTGCCTGACTGCCCAGGTCGTGAACAGAGCCCCTTGAAGGGGGATGATGCCCTAGGAGAATGACAGACAGGTTGCCAGGTGCAGGAAAATCATGTGGAACCCAACACATTTACGGTTCCTGGAAATGGGTGGGAGAAAGAGGATCTCTACTCTGTAAGGCCTGAGAAAGTGTTTCCTCTTTTCTTGCAAGTGTAAAAGCACCTGTGTCTGGCTTGTGTGGTTTGTCTGTTCTGCATCAGGAGTGTCCGTATTGGGGGGCTTTGTGTCTTCTGTGCCTACAGCATTGTGGGGACAAGAACGGTCGCTGCCGATCGGAAATGAATGTCCAGGCGGCATGGAAGAGGGGCTACACGGGAAAAAACGTTGTGGTCACCATCCTTGATGATGGAATAGAGAGGAATCACCCCGACCTGGCCCCAAATTATGTAAGTCAAGCCTTGTAACTGATATGCAAAGATAGTCACCCATGCCAGTCATTAAATAAATACAAAATTGAAAAAACAATAAGGTGCCATTTCCCCCCTTTTACATTAGACAATTCAGAAAATTTCCCCTGCCTTCCTGGAGCCAGGGGATTTGTAGAGGGATCTGTCCGCATGTTTGAGGAGTCACATGTACTCTTAGGAATGGGTCCTAAAGAACCCAGAAATACATGCATGGAGATTGTCATCAGACCAACATTAATGACGTGAAAAATAACGGGATTAAAACATGGCTCTGGATCCGAGTTACCTGGGTTCCTATCCTGGCTGTGGGGTTTATTAGCTCTGGAACCTCGGGCATGTTGCTTAGCTTCTCTGTTCCTCAGTGTCACCTTCCATAAAATGGGGTTACTAATAGAACTACTATCTCATAAGGTTGTTGTGAGGATTAACTGTTTTCAGAAATGTAAAGAGGAGAGCCTGGCACATAGTAAATATATGATAAAGTGTTCTAAGGAACCTGGGTACCTCACAATAGTTAAATCAATCATAGTTTCCATTTGATAGATAATCAGACAGACCTTAAAGGTGACAGTTTTGAAGTCAACAATTCCAGAGAGCTTTTATGATATGCTTTAAAGGGAGGATACAAAAATATATGAATAAGTATAGAAACACAAACATATATTAAAAATGTAAGATGAAGGAAATTCTGACATATGCTATCACATTGATGAACCTTGAAGACTTTATCTAAATGAAATGAGCCAGTCACGGAAGAACAAATACTGTGTGATTCTATTTATGTGAGGTCCCAGAATGGTCACATTCATAAAGAAAGAAAGTGGAATGGTGGTGGCCAGGGACTGGGGGGAGAAGGGAAAGGGCAGGTCGTGCATAACGGGCATAGAGTTTCATTTTTCAAGCTGCAAACAGTTCTGTGAATGGATCGTGGGATGGTTGCAAAGCAGTGGGAATGTATTTAATACCACTGAACTGTACACTTTAAAATGGTTAGGATAGTAAATTTTGTTATGTGTATTTGATCACAATAAAAAATACATATAGGATGATCATTACAGTAAGAGTGTATCAACTGTTTTCCCCTCTACTCCAAAAGAGGCATAAAAATAGTCTAAAATAGGGCTGTAATACTCAGTGCCAGTTCTCTTCAGTCTCTAAGATCTCATTTCTTAGGATTCCTATGCAAGCTACGATGTCAATGGAAACGATTATGACCCATCTCCACGATACGATGCCAGCAATGAGAATAAGTATGTCACTCATTCTCCTTTGCTTTCCTTTTCCTCTCCCTGAGGAATCTCTGGGTTGGACCACAGCTGGGATCCTTGGAGGGTGATGGGGCGGTGGTCGCCTCTCCTGTGGCCTGGCCAGCGACATCGGGAGCCAGCCCTGGCACGCCCCTTCAGGCACAAGGCAGCTTCTGTGGATTTAGCCTCCTCCTTAGGTCACCAGCCCACCCTGCTCAGCTAGAAATGAATGTTTGACCAACATTGAACCAGTTTCCAACCTTACTGGAATATTTTAAAAGAATGACCCTTAAATCTAGCAGTACTCACGCCCACCTGTGTTAAAATAGCAGTTTGGCCTATTTGCGTACACAGGTCACATGCCTGATCTTTTTTGACTCTGTCCCTGACCTTATGATGCGATGGAGGGGGGAGTGAGTAATGTTGGATTCCTGGCTGAGCGGCTTTGCGCCTGCTGAGTGACCTTACTGAGGCTCTTGGTATCTTAGAGACTTTTCCGTGGAGATGATATTCCCTCTGCCCCAGGGTTGCGGGAGGGCTGAGGTAACAGGTGGTGAACACACGCAGGGGATGCTCAGTCAAGGTACTTGTTACCAGCACTTTGCAAATGAAGGCAGCAGGGTCTGGAGAGATTGGGTGACTTGTGTGCCGTGAATGGCAGCCCTGGGATTGGAATCACTTCCCAAACCAGGTCCTGGGAGTCCATTTGCCGTGTCCTGAGTGTCCTTCTCTGGCAGCACGCCCCAGGCATTGAGCTCTCACCATTCTTTCAAAAATATGTAGAGGAAGAGAACGGAAGCCCTTTCATTCTTTCTCACTGTTGACCTGTCACTTGCCAAGGTGCATCCTCCCTCCATAGTGTTTCAGTTTTCGGCAGCTTCGGTTCTGAGGTTCCAACGCGGGCGCCCCACAGTGCTGTGCATGCAGGCATGGCCTGGGAGTTGCTTTGCCTGCCTCACATCCCAAGGTGCCCTTCCTGCTCAGCAGTGAGCACGCCTGGGGTGCGGGGCACCTCGTTTCCTGGACACACGTCCAGGGGCAGGGAGGAGTGATCCAGACACCCACAGTGACCCATGAAGGGCAGGATCAAATCCCAGGTGACATTTGGAGCTCCGTGACTGTGCACAGCCCTGGCCTGGGGCTGCCCTGGGTCCAGAGGACAGACGACTCCCTGACGGAGGGCTGACACACAGACCCAGGACTATTTTTAAAGGTGGTATTAAATTGGAATCAATGATTCCCATTCTCTGTGGACTCTTCTCAAAGATGTGCTATTTAAATTTGCCCCTATTTTGGCCTCTGCTGGAGGAATTGCCCTGATGCAGCACATTGGAAAATCGAGTCATAACTGTAGGAAGGAATTTGTTTTTCTGGTAATTTCTTCATAGTCCCTCTGCTGCTTTAGAGTGTTCAATTTAGAGAAATCTTCCTTGGCTCCTGCGTGAATGGCCATTGACAACGGTGGGAGGGCTTCCCAAGGTGAGCCTGGGGCTGGTAGGTACACAGGGGACACCCTGATTCTTCCCAACCTCCTGCCAGCCAGCCAGGTGTGTACACTGCACCTGTGCATGCCATGCAATGTGTTTTCAGTCACACGGATGCAGCCTGGGCGGAGGGGAGCACGGAGCTGTGGAAGAGTGGCAACTGCGCACCCTTTGCTGAGGGGCGGGAAGGGCTTGTCAGCCTGCAGGTGTGGCAGGGGCAGGACTGCCCAGGGCTGTGCAACGTCTGGCTTGATGCTCCCTCCTGGACAAGCTGTCAGAGGAGAGGCAGCAAGGACAGGGGATGCAGGAAATGGGCTTCAGTATCATGACCCGGCCTAGGGAAAACTGACTTCTTGCATGAGAACTGAACAATGCGCTAAACTTGCTGGGCTGAGTCCTCACTTCCTTTTTTCCTTTGCTCCAGACACGGTACTCGTTGTGCAGGAGAAGTTGCAGCTTCGGCCAACAATTCTTACTGCATCGTGGGCATAGCATACAATGCAAAAATAGGAGGTAAGGTCTGGGGCGTGGGGCATGAGAATCTTGGGAATTGGGGCCAGAAGCAGCCCTTTCCACAAGTCTCAACAGCTTTACCTCCATTCGCCTCTGCTGGCTGCATCAGACCCCTGGTCCTGAGCTTATGCCATGGCCTGGCAGCCAGCACACAGTGATGGGCCTGGAGGCTGAGGAATTGCTCACTGTTTTGCCTGAAAGCCATCGCAGGTGTCATCAGAAAGGCACTCTCTTTCTTCTAGCCCTGCTAGTCTGGCTGCTGTTTCATCACTGTCAATCTGATCACTTCTCCTAAAGGCCGCCTTGGGTCTCTCCTGCTCCCAGCTCTGCAGTGGCAGCCTGTCACCTCTCCAACAGAACTTAGAGCCTGTGCCTGAGACCAAGGCCTTTCCTCGGCACCCACTCCTCAGTTCTCCAGGTCCTGCCCTCGGCTTTGGCCAGAGAACATCTGTCATAGCAACCCAGACACACCTGATCTTCCCCCTTTATGCTTGGGCTTGGAGCATTCCTTCTCACTGCCTGAAAGCTTCTCTCTGCCTTCCATTTGCTTTAGTCCACCCATGACCTACGGCCAGCTTGCAGCCACTGTGCTCCATGAAATGTCCCCGAATTTAGCTGCCTCCCCTGTCTCATTTGCCGGGGAGATGGGCAGTTCCAGGTCCCTGTCAGGAGCAAGGCCTGACCCCAGGCATCTCTGGCTCTGTTGCTTAGCGCCTCCAATTTAGTTAAGCTTCCCTTGCTAGGATGGGGCTTCAGAGCAGAGTCACACCTCTTCCTGTGCCTCAACCAAGCCTGGCAGTTTGACAACTCAAACCAGCAGATGGTGAACGAGTACTCTAAAGGGCTTGTTAGGTGCACATCACTGAGCTGGGACCTGAGCAAGTGTGTGCATGGGTACGGGTGCTCTGTGACTGTTCAGATAGCCCTGGGGCACTGCTGTCCTTACTGGGGACACTGTCTCTCAGTTTGGAGGTGTTCATGCTCATTCTGGTGGCATGCTGGGTAGCCACCTTCCCAGTGCACTGCCTTCTCTGCTGCTTGGCCTTGTGGGGGCAGCTAGGCCCCCTCAACTTTATGATAAGCAGCACTGGTGGGGAGTTTGGGCCAGGGGTTCTATGCATCCTCTAGTCCTGGGGGAACTTCTTGAGTTTTAAAAAGAGGGTCCCCAGCTTTTACTTAGTTAGGACTCTATGCCTGCCTTTTCCCTTGGAAATCTTTGAAATGGCTAGGATTTGTCACCTATGACAGCATTAACTGCCAAGGGCATGTTCCTCAGGTCAGGGAACTCTGTCACCCAGCCTTGCTCCTTTGTGGATACTTCTTTTACACTGAGATATGTGAGTCCTCCCTGAAGGTTCTGATGAGTGAAGACCCCTGAGAAGTCTGTCCATGAGCTGTAGGGCCAAGTTGACCTGGATACCAATCCCATTCCTACCACTCATGGACTGTGTGTCCTTGAACAACTGATGTAACCTCTCTGAGCCTATATTCCTTCACCTGTAGGGGATGAAAGGCAATGATACAGCTGCTTCCCCAGGTCTGTTGTGGCGATGAGGCCAATGTCATGTATGAAAGCATTGTCTCAGGATTAAGTCTGTAGGGAGCCTCTGAGCAACTCCATCCTACCTGCAGAAACCCTCCGAGGTAGAATAAAAATGATCTGCATTGCTTTGAGTGACGGTAGACCCCACCTTTGGGGTTGTCTGAGCCTTGCTTCCCAAAGTCCCTGGAGTCAGACTTCCCAGGCCTACCGAGTCACAATCTATGTTATAACAAGATCCCAAGAAGGTGTGACAACAAACAACAGCTTGAGAGAAGTGCTGGCTTAGGGGGTCTGGAGTCAGGCAGGTAGGTAACTACCTGGCCTGTGATGAGCAGTCATTGGAGCACTAAAGGTAAAGAGCAACCTAAGAAATTGCACAGTGAATATGGTTCTCACTAGATCTGCTCTAAGCTCATTGCAAAATTGTATAGCCACGTTTCCCAAACTCTGGGAGACCATCTCTACTGCAAGGGCTTGGGAACAGGAACCTGTTTAAATTAATGTATTTAATATCTCTGAGCATGAACTGCACGTATAATCTTGTGCCACTGAGGGAGTATAAAAAGAGACAGAAAAAATGTGGTACCTCCAGGAGCTCAGCCTGTTTTTGGGGTGAATGATGCCAACACAAAAGACAGTATAGGACCAAGTACTGAAATGTCAGAGGGTGACAGGGAACCCCAGGCGTGGCAGAGCAAGCACTCAGTGAGAGCGGAAGCCAGAAGACACAGCATGAGCTCAACACAGGAGGGTTCAGCTGGAAGTGGACGAAGTGCTGAGGATGCAGAGGGAGAGGTGCCATGGAGTGGAGCTGGCTGTGGACAGGCAAAAAGGGCATTTAGGCTGGCACTGACCCAGGAAAACTGACAGCCGTGTCTCCAAACTGCTGTTCACAGCTTCAGCCTCTCTGCACAGGCAGCCACCCCTTCTTCCTGCCCCTCTCTCCAAGCCTACCCCTGGGCAGGATAAACTTCAGGCCCTCTGAAGCCTGCCTCTGAGTGTGCTGGCACACAGAAGGGGATTTCTCTGAGATGCCCCTGGAGCTGACCATGAGCTATACATTTTTATATCTTTTTTAAGTTGTGGTTCAAGAGATTTAATGTAGGTCCTAACTTATTTCAGTCTATCTGAGATTAATATTATAATACTTTATGAACTACATACGAAGCTAAAACAGATTTGACTTCATACTCTCATCCTTTCTGCTGTTATTTTATGTTTTACTTCATATGTTTGTAAAACGACAGTGCATTATTATTCTTGCTTTAATGGTTGACTTTAAAATATTTATGAAGGGAAACATACTTGCCTATGTAGTTACCATTCCTAGTGCTCTCCCTTACTTTCTAGCTTCAGATTTCCATCTGGTTTCAGTTTTTCTTCAGCCTGAGAATTTCTTCTTGCATTTCTTGAAGTGCAGGTATGCTAGTAAGAAAATATTTCAGCTTTTATCTGAAAGTGTCTTTATATCATCTTCATTATTGAAATAAATTTTGCTGAACATAGCATTCCACATAACATGTTTCTCTTTCAGTACTTTGAAGATGTATTCCCTCATCTTCTGGCATCCATTGTTTTTTATGATAAGTCTGTTGTCATCCTTATTGTTGTTCCCTATTAAGGATTTGTTCCTCTAGCTGTTTTGATAATGTTTTTTTTTAAATCTGTGTTTTTCCTGTGATTATAATGTCCTTCTTGTAATTTTCTTCATATTTGTCCACTGTGGGACTTGTGTGCTTTCTAGTGGTTTTTTTCCCTTCCTAAAGCAAATTTGGAAAATATTTGTCAATAGTTTCTAAAAACAATTTTCAGTCTTCTTTTTTCTCTCTTCTCCATAGGCACCAATTATAGTTAGATTGCTTGATATATCTCATAGGTTATTAAGGGTGTTCCATTTTTTTAAATCTATTTTTTGTTCATGTGCTTCAATTTGGATGATTTTTATTGCATTACCTTCAGGCTCATTAATCCTTTCCTTTGTTGTGTCCAATCTGTTATTAATCCTGTCCAAGAAGTACACATTTTTGTACCTTTCAGTTTTTGTGCTTTTCTGTCTTGATTTCCATTTGGCTTTTTTTTTAACTCTTTCCAAATCTTTCCTGAGATGATTCTTCTCTTAGCCATTATATCTATTTTTCACCTTAGATTCTATAATATATTTATAAGAGCTACTTTAAAATCTTTTGTATTAATTTCAATATCTGTACATTCATGGGTATGTTTCTAATGATTGAGTATCCTCTTTACAATCAGTCACATATTCCTGTCTGTCTATAATTTTGCACAATTTATTTGCATGTTTCTAGTAATTTTTTATTGTACTCTATACATTGTTATGCTACATTGTAGAGACTGAATTCTGTTATCTTTGTCTGAATACTGTTCAGTTTTGTTTTAGCAGCCAGCTCAATTTGAACTTGTGAAGGCTTAGTTATTATTATTTTTTTATGGTTGATCTCTCTGATTTGCCTTTAGCCTTAAGGAAAATCCTTCAACCCAAGTGCATAGTCTTTAGTCTTAGAATATGACCCTTCTGACACTTCAATGGAAAGATTGACATGTTTATGAAGACTTCTAACTTGGCAAGAATCAAACATCAAATTGACTCCCCTGTGATGGGCAGCAGATGAGATATATGCTCATCTCATTCATCCTCTAGCTGTTTTTTTCCTTTCCAAGACTCTACTTCTTGGAGTCTTGGCCAAACATGATTAGCCCAGGAGTTAGCTACGTGTTTGAAGGGAGTTTCTAAGTCCTGTTCTGTAGCTCTCTTCTTTCTGAGATTTCTCTCAATTGTTAGATGCTCTAGAAGTCCCAAACTCCATTCCATGACTCCCCAGGAGAATAAGATTGCACTTTCCTGATGCGTTCTAGGCTCTCTGTACTAAGAGAAATAGGGACTTCCCTCAGAGGAAAAGTCATATAAACTTGGATCATACCTGGTATGGTTCCCTTATTTCAAGAATTGAATCCCTTGACTGCCTCTGCCTTCTTCTCATTGTTTTTCAATGTCCTTAAGAAGTTGTATTTTCTTTTTTTCTTTATTTTCTTTATTTTTTAATTTTGCTATTATTAATGTACAGCTACATGAGCAATATTATGGTTACTAGACTCCCCCTATTATCAAGTGTCCACCACATGCCCCATTACAGTCACTGTCCATCAGCGTAGTAAGATGCTATAGAGTCACTACTTGTCTTCTCTGTGTTATACTGCCTTCCCCATACCCCCACTGTACTACATTATGTGGGCTAATCATAATATCCCCTTTTTCCCCTTATCCCTCCCTTCCCACCCAACTTCCCCAGTTCCTTTCCCTTTGGTAACTGTTAGTCCATTCTTGGGTTCTGTGACTCTGCTACTGTTTTGTTCCTTCAGTTTTTTCTTTGTTCTTATACTCCACAGATGAGGGAAATCATTTGGTACTTGTCTTTCTCTGCCTGGCTTATTTCACTGA